AAACTGTACACAGTTCATGACTTGAAGAGACCATCTGTGGTGACTCTATGCGTAAGGGTGGCGCCTTCGACACGAAAATAGGTAACACAACAAAATGTAATATTTAGATTTAATGAGGAGCTCAACCCCACACGGTGGTGCGATGGTACATAATGTGCAGAAACAAGGGGCGTGCTCTGCCTCGAAGTGACATAAGGGTCCCCCAAAGGCAATGTATGATTTAGGGTCACGCTAGGCAGATATCGAGTAACAGGCGTATCAATAGATCAGCGGTAAACAACGAGTGAGGTCATGAAACACGAAGAGATATTGGGAAACTGGGATTGGCAATGATATTGGCACACCACCTTAGCCACGAAAATGTGCCCACTACTCAGATAATCGCCGGGGGCAGGCGGTCCGCAAACTCGCGCTTTTCTGCAGGCGGTCAGCAGGATTTCGGGGCGTGGCCAAATCTTCAGCGGGCGGTATTTCCGTTTTCTGCAAGCGGGCATCAATACAAAATTTTCTGCAAGCGCTCGTCAAACAATCTCTTTCAGCGAGCGCTGGCCACACTTTCAGCAGGCGCTCGGACTCTTTTTACGCGGTTTCGGACGTACGCCGAGAAAAGATGACACTCTATGTGGCAGAGGTGCCATCGATGGTTTTATTACCCAAGTTTGGGGTACTTTCTTTCAGCGGAAAGTACCTGGGGGTTGCGCGATCTTCCACAAAGGACCGTGCGGCCCCCGAAATTTTTGCAAATTCTCGCGGAAAGTCCGCGAGAATGCGGCCACTGCGCCGCAGCTAATCTATGAAGAAAACGCGACTGTTCTTCAAGCGTTCGTCCTTAATTTCGCCAATTTTCTTCCAAATTTCTGCAAGCGGGCCGCAAAAAATCAACGAACTATTTTTCCGGTGCCCGCCTGCCCATGAATCGCATCGCCGCTTGCCCCCGGCGATTATCTGAGTACCTGTGCAAAGCGATCCTGAAGCAGTACTCTGCGTTGATACCACTGCTTACTGTACGTCTCAACGTGTGAAGCTGCCATTGGTATTTCCAGTGAGTTGCATCATAAAAAAAATCCAGTAAAATAGAGCGAAAAGAAGAATAACTACAATGCGTAAAAGAATTGAAATGTATGGCACGCGCCATACTTGATCCGCTTGTCCCGCTTCGTCATTCGTCAATTCAGTGAACAGACCAATAGTAAAGTGGATGAAGTGGATTAAGTGACAACCTTCGCCGTTGGTTAGTTCATCGAACTGACCAATGACGAATTGGATGGATCAAGAGCGCCTGCCGATCATGAGAAGAATAAAACAAAGCTGTCCAACCTTAGTGAAAAGATTTGAAACTAACAAGGGAAGCTACCTAACTTAGCTCGGCCTTTTGGCAAAGAACATATGTATTCCAAATCAGCTCCAAACGCTCAATCCAAATATGCTATTCAAGGCTGCCGAGCACCATTCCGAAGCGAGTTATGGACTATTTCCTGCGCGAAATTGGCATACTCATCGACTCACTGGCATTACGGTATCATCGTCTAAGTGCTAATACACTTGCGTTAGCTTCTTTTTAGTGAGGAAAGAATGAATTTGTGTTATTTCAATATACCAGCACCTTTTTCTTGCAGATTTCTACCTACATACAGGAAGTCTTCCCACTTTTAATAATATGTCAAATTTGCGCCGGAAAAAGTCCACAACTCCCTTTAGTATGGTGTTCGGCAGCTTGAAATAGCATAGTTGGAATCAGCGTTTGTAGCTTATTCAGAATATATATATAAGTCACTTTCCAAAATGCTGAGCTTAGTAAGGTAGCTTTCCTTATAAGTAGCAAACTGAAGCGACAAATCTTTGGACAGAAAGCCGTGTCACATATGGTCAGCTGGTTCCTCTCAAGGGACGTGCAGATTTGCTTGTTGATTATTCTTTCCAAGAATAATTGACAAACAAATCTCACAATTTTTTCTTGCTAGAAGATGATGTCAAACAAATCTATGATTTCGGCTTCACTTCGCAGACTCTTCAAACACTGCATTCATAAAACGCAGTACGCCGTAGAGATTTCCTCCAAAGAAGCAAACTTTAAATTAGTAACGCCAAAATTCACACTATTTCACAAATGCTAGAAGACGAGTGGCGTAGTGTTATGAGGCGCGGATATGACCAGATCGACACAGGTTCGATCCCCTCCCCTGGGCCAACCAAGTCCTCGACCCTCCGGGGCCGGTAAATTGGCACCAGAGTAATCTGGGAGGATAAAAGCACTGACTTGGTAACCGGCTGGTCCCCGCAGGTCACTGTAATAGGCTCGCGCGCATACAATTGCCTTTTCGTCCATGAAGTAGTGTGCGTTCGGCGCGTGCACGCAGAGGGTATTGAAGACGCCGGATCCTTTATCCTTATTATCACAATGCTCTAAGAAAAATGTATGGTAGATGATCGCGGGATGTGGACCTCCTGAGTGGAAGACCTTGAAACATGGTAACTTCACCAGTGCTTGAGTTCAGCAATTTTGGTGCTTGCGAGGAATGAACATTTAGCTTTGAAAGTTGTGATTTTTCTATAAATACTCCTAGAAAACTCAACAAATTTTTCTGCTTCGCTTATCAGTCGTAAAGATGAATTATAAATAGTTCCGATACTTCTTGACACCTTCAGGTTTTGATTGCAGAGGCGATAGATGTCTTATGTCGCGAGTAAGCGCAATTTTATCCTCTTCTGAAAGTCAGCGGTACAGCTCGGCACGATTTTTTTTGAAAACCCCAATACTTTAATATTCTATTTCTTGCATGAGATCGATCAATCATAACGATCTTCTCCTCAAGCCCAGTTTTCTATGATACATTAGGGTATGATTACGGACAACTTTATGCCAAGGAGAAGAGCTGTTTATAACTTATGGAAACCCAAAAAAATGAATCGTAGCAATGATCTGCCGAGTCAGCGTTTAAAATAATGCTTCTTTAATCAATTTCCAACAACCTCGTATTTATCGTATAACCTGCATGGACATAGTTTCAAAGAGTATTCTCTGGCGAAGTCACCCTTCGACGCTTGCACAGCTCAAAAGCTGTAGAACGGTAGTCCAAGGACAGAGAGGCGCGAACATGAAGATTTTCTTTTGAGTATAAAATTTTTGGAGACAAGCAAGCAATCACGTTCCCAAAGTATGACTTTTTATCCCTTGAGTTCCGCAGAATCGAAGGCAAGCATTGCTCCCAAACCAGCGCTACACCAAGCAGGGCTTTGGAATTTGGTGCAAAAAAACCAAATTGATGCCTTGAAAGTCGGTCTTTCACTTCTAGGATGTTTGCCCTGGCTGGAATGTTTCGACTTCTTACAAGACTAGTCTCTCCATGCTTGCCACAACTTTTCTTCGTTTTGGAAGAGCGATGTACGATCAAGATTTAGCCAAAGTCATGGTTAAAAGGGTTAAGCTAGAAATACATGATTTTCAGATTGTCAGATTTTGAAAATCTCACCAGAAAGCACAGCCTTTATGTTTGTAAGAGGAAAAGTTCAAACTATGCTTTTTGATTCTTTCTTATGACGTGTAGTCAAAACTTCGCATGGTCTCTCTGCGGAAGCTGTTACCGCGAGAAATACTTTTATTTTCAGCACAGTAATTCAAAAAATATCTGAAATCACAAGAAACAATCTGATATCTTGATCGGCAGGGACTGCTGATGTTGGCGTCCTTTTTCTACTCAACGGTAGCACTCTAGCGATTTTAATCTCTCTATCCAGTGGCCATTGATCAGCGAACTCTGAGGGTCAAGCTTATCCTGTAGCCGCATTCATCAACGTTACCCCGTGGGTTACGCTCCCCAGTGGGTAAACTTACCCTGGGTTTGCTTACCCAGTGGGTAAACTTACCCATGATCGGTATTCACGAACGCCTCTACCGCTGGGTTAGCTTACCCAGCAGCGCTGACGTCAGCAGGGTGCTCATTGACGTCTATTTAAAGCACGTACTGGCACCCTTGCTGTACCCTTGCATCGTTTTTGTATTTCTTCACAATTATTTGTGTGCAATATCTCTACCACCTACTCACAAACGCCTCCGCTCCTTTATCGAACTCAGCAGTGGCCCTCGAAATTCTCATCAAAATTCTCGCGTAGGTTTGAGTCTTTTAGCATGCAAGCTAATAGTTTGATTCTCCGCGGGGAATCATTGTTTGGCTCCCGTCTTTCTAAAATTGACATGATTTGGTACCGTGCAAAATTCAGATTCGTGTAAGTGGAGGGGAATTGGTTTTAAGTTCAGACTTCGAAGATGTGGGAAACTTGTAATGACGTATCGTCGATCCCCCAGAATTGTGCACATATGAACCACCGCGCGCGCGCACGCGCGCGACGCCGCCTGCTCGCCCGATTCGATCGAAGCACCTGTTTTTCTCTTTCCATCCGCATTTTTCAAAATTTTTTACAGTTTTTGCTCTTCCGGCATAGAAAGTGTACGGCAGCAAGGGTCCTTCGAAAGAATTTGCTCCGCTATGGTCGACTTTGCGGGAATAAACTCGCACTCCTTTGTTATTTGCTACTAAATGTTCTTTACGTTGGCAAGGCCTCAATCTACTTCAGCTTTTTGTGTTTCTTTTCTACTATTACAATGCTTTTATGATGATTTGTTGATGTTAGCAGCTAAAGCTAAGAATAAAATCTCATCTTGCTCACTGCACATTCCCAAAATTGGGATTTCGTACCTAATTCATCATCCTATCGACTACATTACTGCAAGAGAGGTTATGATCACGTTCTTTTGATGTAATGCTCTGCACGATGACGATGCTTGAACCCCGGATGTTTCTTGGCCAAAAGTCTGTTCAGCCTGTTTGAGATTTTGCAGGCCTGCTTACGCACAAGATTATTTATCTCGAAAACCTTTTTTTGTACCTTTCCGTTCTTTATGAAGTTTTGTGTGCCAATCGTTTCGTCATCATAACACTTCCCGAAAGTATTGCAGATTTGTAATTCGTTACATAATCCACTAAATGGCTACGTATGTTCAGGGAATGGTTATGAGAATCATAACTATGGATCTGACTGTTGTGGTTACTCATTTTTTCGTTCGTCATTGGCATCGCATGGCTTCATCGTCAGCGCTCACTGCTGAAGGTTCAATTTCAAGTTTCTTTTTTCCTTACTTGCCTCTGACTGTAACTCTTTGTAACTCTTTTAGTGATTACTATTTTTAGACTCTCGAACCAAAACGAGGCATTACCGCAGAGTCTTGCCAGGATTGTCATTTATCAGTACGACTTATGAATTTCAACGACAAACTCTATTCAAAACAAGGAATCCACAGGTTCCTTCCAGATCTTCATATTTTGTTGTTTCTGGAACATCTTTCTAAAGAATTTGGACTTTGAACGTAGCCTTGCGTGATATACAGTTTGTCACAAGGCATCCTCAAAATAGTATTTCAGTAACACAGTCAAATATATTTTATCTTCAGCATATATTATCTTTGTTCCAGCCTAACAAAAGGGCACACTGAATATGTCGAGGTACTTAACGCCTTTGAAGGAATCTACACTGGACAGCTTCGAAGCAATGCTGGCACGATAAGAATGAGTATGTGCTCAGAGTCAAAGGTATGTGGTGCTAGCTTGCCTTTATTTATAGAATTTGTTTTATTCAGGCTAGGATTGAACTTTCACCGCCCTTCGTGGGTTGTTGCGGTGCAAAACTAGCCACTAAAGCTTTCTCCATTGGTTACTCTCAGATGTGTCTCCTATCCTCCAAAGTATTCTGAGACATAACTGCTATTTCACAGGTTGATGCTCTGTCACTATTACTTGCAGTCGCCTTCGATACAATCCCTTACGAAAAGCAGAAGAAGTGAACAATCTCATATGAGAAAGCGTGGTTTACGCTCAATAGTGAGTACAGCCTACGTTGCCTTCAACCTCGCTTCCCATAGCTTGATTTCATCATATATCACCTATTTATTAGTTTGTTGATTGATTTTGATTTGTTGGTTTTTGACGCTCTTTGAAAACAGCCGATTAAAAACACATTCTTCGTTGTCTGCCTGTATCTATTATCTCCGTGACTTTCTTTTATCGGATCGCATACTCACAGATTGCTATGCATTGTCATTAAATCCTGCTGAACATTATGTTCTGTAACTGTCCCAGATTCAAGTGCTGATAGTAGATGGTTGCTAATAAACATGATAGCGTTCTCTATTGTATTATATAATGAGCAGCCGACATTTTGAGACAAAAGACCCTTTTCAAAAGAGTGTTCTTCCAAAAAATGCCCTTTGACACTACATGCTCTGATACAAGAATAGGCACCCAATCATAACCTCTTGGAGTACAAAACCAGTAAAATTTTCTCATTTGAGTTGAATGTTTCTGAGGAAATACATTTCCTTGAATGTTCAAGCTCAGGAAAAAACCCTGACACTAAGATTTCAGCGAGTAGCAAAGAAAGAAATGTGTATCTCAAACCCAAATCGTTTGGTAGCATCTCGCAAACGTTCTGAATCTTCAATGGCAATTTGAAAACACAGCTACAAACCAAATGAGAAAGCAGCAGTGTCTTAATAGACAACAGCATTAGTGCAAAAAAAGCACTGTAATCGTAAAAAAGAAATACGAAAAGCTGAAGTAGATTGAGGCCTTGGCAATGTCAAGAACATAGCAGCAAATAACAAAGGAGTGCGAGTTTATTCCCGCAAAGTCAACCATAGCGGAGCAAATTCTTTCCAAGGACCCTTGCTGCCGTACACTTTCTATGCCGGAAGAGCAAAAACTGTAAAAAATTTTGAAAAATGTGGATGAAAAGTGAAAAACAGGTGCTGCGATCGAATCGAGCGAGCAGGCAGCGTCGCGCGCGTGCGCGCGCGCGGTGGTTCATATGTGCACAATTCTGGGGGATCGACGACATTATGGGATAAGGCGCCTAAAGCCTTGCAGAATTACACAGTTTTATTGCAGTCGTGATTCTGCAAGTGTTTCAAAGGGGCTCAAGCTTTCGGATTAAGGAGGGAAAAAAGCATTTTGAACACTCAAAGTAGCCTAATCTATTTGAGTGCGAGAGAAAAACATTTTTTTTGCATGAATAGAGCACTAAATTTACAAGTGATTGACATACAGTTTCGTATAGGATATTTCTACGTAGTTGCAGTAGTATTAGAAAATCTCTAAGATGAGTTGGCATTGATGAACTCCATAGCAAAGAGTTTTTCGTTTGCAAAAATGTCAATTTCTACTTTGAAAAGGTCTTGAATTTTTCGGAGAATGGTGACATTAATTTCCCTAATTTCACGCGTACAAGCGGGGGATTTTTTTTTCTAAAATCCGCCAGCCTAAACACGCCACAACACTTCGCGACCAAAGAACTCTATACCGGGCTTCGTACTGCCTGAGAGAATTGAACCGTTTAAGCTTCGCTTTTCGAAACACATTGAAGCGGTTGATCGGCTTATTTGAAAAATCGAAAAAGATGCGCCTTGTACGCGTGAAATTAGGGTAGCTTGAACCGAAAGTTCAGTCGCTTTTTTTTGAAAAACTCGTAAATGCTACCTAGAACATAATTGCTCACAAAAAATTTCATCAGGAAGAAAAATTCATCTACTTTTTACAAACATCTTCGCAGCTCTTGATAGAAAGGGGCTCTGCCGATTAAAATCTGAATAAGAAAACCATCCCAACTTTTGATTTTCGAAAATGAATGTCACAGATACGGTGCAGAAAAAACTGAAGACATGTTTGTTGAAGCCACTGTAAGTTGTCCTTTTTAATAGACCCGAATTTGTGCTGATTGGGCTTTTCTGTACAAAGTTGTTTTTCGAGGAAAACGCAAAAATCGACAAAATGTTTTTTTTACATTTTTTGCATTTTCCTTGAAAATTATGATTTTTTATAGATCAATCAGCATAAAGTAGCACTTTTATAGAGAGCAGCTTACGTGAACTCAAGAACCGCATTGAATTCTTTTGCAGCGTTTGAGATGTTTGACAAATTATTTTCAAAAATCAGGAGTTAGGGTGGTTCTCTTATTCAAATTTCTATGTATAGAGTTTCTTGTCGCCAGGAGCTTTGAAGATGTTCTAGGAGATAACTGAAGTTTTCTCTTTACTTCCCCATGAGCAATTACATTTATATAGGGAGCAGCTATGAATTTTTCGAAATCAAAACGACAGAACTTTTGTTCAGGCTAATGTTTCGATTTTTCATTGAATTAGTAAATTGGTTCTTTGCTATGAAACCTTTTTTTGACGTTTTTATGAAAAAAGGCTTTAGTATCCAAGTAGGAACATTAGCATTTCTAGTATGACATACTACGGCCAGTAGCTATTGCTTCTTTCTGAAACATTTACAGCGTTTGAAGAAAAGGCACAATCCTTTGTTACCCATTGCAATTTTCGATGTGTGCTTGGGTAGGAAGTTACCCACGCAATGTGATTATCGGAAACCGCGATTTCTGTGTAAGGAGTTTCTTGAATACCGGTATTGGGTAGGCTAACCGATCGAAGCTGTTTATGAATATCGGTATGGTGGCATTTTGTGGGTTAGCCGACCCAGCGGTAGACTTAACCCACTGAGTTCGCTTACCCAGCAGCTTCGTGAATACCGGTTTCGTGGGTTGAGGCTACCCACTGGGTAGGGTAACCCACTGAGTTTCGTTGATGAATATGGCCACTGGAGAGTAATTTAATCCTAAAAGCGATTGACCCGTATTCACGAAACACAGGGTAGGCTTAACCTCGGGGATCTACCCTTGAGGGTAAACCTTACCCCGGAAAACGTCAACCTGTATCTATCAATAACTTTGAGGGTAAAGTCTACCCTTGAGGGTAAAAGTTGCCCCAGAGGTGATTAAACCGCATTTATAACGGATTCGTCAGGAAAAATTCAAACCTAGCACACAGCAAGGTGAGGTGGCGAAGAACGAGTAAACGAGTGGCGTAGTGGTACGCCGCTATAACCAGCTCGGACACAGGTTCGATCCCCTCCCCTGGGCCAACCAAGCCCTCTACCCTCCGGGGCCGGTAAATTGGTACCAGAGTAATCTGCGAGGATAAAAGCACTGACTTGGTAACCGGCTGGTTCCCGCGGGTCACTGTAATAGGCTCGCACGCATACAATTGGCTTTTCGACCATGAAGTAGTGTGCGTTCGGCGCATGCCCGCAGAGAGTATTGAAAACGCCTTTTTTTACTTTTTTATCCTTTATAGAGCAAGGTTAAACTTACCCTGACACTTCGTACAAACATAGAGTGATCTCTCGATGCACCACTCGGTTTTAAGATGTTTTGACAACAAACACATATTTCTAGTCATTATTATCTCAAATTTCCTAAGTATTCTTTTCGTCTCGTCTAATCATGTTACAAAAAGTAGAATAAATTTTTCTAGGTTTGTCGGTCAGCTTCAAGTTTATCTATTTAACCTAAGATGATTTAATCATGTATCAATTCATTTACTGAACGAGTATATTGGTGAACTAAACTTTGAATGAGGAAGTTCCGTTATGGAAATTTTTCGAGTTGCTGAGCTTGATGTTCGCCATATTAAAGTAGTTACAAGGAAAAGATATTTGGTCACCGTGGCTATTTGAAATGCTATGGATATTGTAAGATCCACTTTGAAACGCTGATACTAGATATGTACTCAATATCTGCGAAACGATTTTCTGAAGGAAGTTACGCACTTTTTTTATTAGATATTCGCGAACTTTTGGGTAATTAAAATCACCGAATTTGGTCTAGCTTACCGTTTGATGCTATTGACCAAGATCTTAAGTAGATTACGGGTGTTTTAATGAATGTCTAAACCAAGCAGTTGAAAAAGTGAGAAAATTTTCTGTTGCGGATTTCAACCCTACAAGCGCAATTTATCGTCAAAAATTATCATACACCATTCAGTTTATCGTTTCGCAGATATAAAAGAATGTTTTCGAACCAGCATTCAAAGGCGCATTTTTTGATTTACAATTCATTATGAATGGCTACGGTCACCTAGTATCGTTCTCTTGTTTGTTGGACATGTACTTTATTTAGGACTAAACTTTTACTATAACAACTTTCCTGAATATTTACCGGATGATAGCATCAAACGAAAACACAAAAAGAGGCCATAGGAAGTTTGAGATGATAGTAATATTGTTTAGTGTCAGAACAGTATCGTTGAGACTGAGTGGTGCATAGATAGATCACTCGATGTTTGTACGAAGTATCAAAGCGAATTAATCTGCCTTAAACTAGGATTACATTTACCCTGATGAGCCTCCCCGTGAAAACGTGTTAATCGCTTTCTAGGGTAAGGTTTACCCTCAAGGGTAGATACGCTCAGGGTTCGTTGATCGGTACGGGTCAATTCCTTTTCCGGGTGAACCCTACCCTACCCGCGAGGAATCGCTGATGATTATGGCTTATGAACCCTGAGGGTAAAACCTAACCTTGAGGGTAAGATTTACCATCAAGGTTCGTTGTTGATTACGGCGCAGAAAAGCGTGTCTCACTACAAGCTATTCCCTATCTTTTCTTTTCAACGAAAAAAATTGCATGAACAAATAAGCTAACAGAGAATGCGTTAGTCAAAGTGGCTATCTGAGATGAAATATTAGGTAAGTCCGAAAGTTCGTGCCGCTTCTTAAACCTATCCTCAAAACAACTATATATATATATATAAAACTCATTGTCTGTGAGGATGTTCGTTTAGTTGTTCGTTCGTTATAGAAACGCGCGCCACTGAACCGATCCGGCTGAAACTTCGCACACGTATATTTTCGACCCCGGCGGTGGTTTAGAGCTACTTTCTGCGGCGATTCGCCGGGCCATTCTATCGATTTATTGATTTGTTTACTCAAACCCAAGAAAATGAAGGGCCATCATGGCAACCGATCATTTTTACATATAAGCATGTAAGCAGGGGCGGTAAAGTCCATTTCAATCTTAAAGCTGGTAGGGTGCGGCAATCAGTCTGGAAGCGCTTTATGCGCATGTTAGAAGAAATCTAGAGGCGTAAGTTTACAAGTTCTGTTGGCTTAACTAACTTGAAGTCTCGGGTGAGACCGGGGCCATTAGCTAGTTCACAATAAAAGTAAACAAACACTCCGAAAAGTAATCTTGCAGAATCCCTTCTTTTTTCTAGCAGCAATGTTTTTGTTCGGCCTTCAATATTTTTTCGAATAATCGCCACAATCTCCAACCTGCAATTTACGTACCTCGACTTTAGCTAACTTTTAAAATTTTCGTTCTGAACGTTTGAAAATTTTTCAGTAAAGTTGGATAGAATGAACAAAATGCTATAAAACCCAATTTTTTGGCATCTATAGCTGGCTTTTCAATTCTTTGGCATCGATAGCTGGCTTTTTAGCATTTTTAAAGATAACTTTTCCAAAAGTCTTGGAATTTGCGAAGGCCTGAAATATATAAACGCTTCAAACACTATGAAATCCTCGAAAATTGGAACTTCCAAAAATCGGTTATGTTTAAACACTGATTTCAAAGGACAAATGAGTTTTTACAGTCTCAAAAGATTGAAATTATTTTGAAA